TCTGTCTGTCAGTATGTGATTATACCTATAGGCTAATGTGCCCCCCCAGCCGCGCCCCCTCCACATCTCCTCCAACAGAGAAACTGCCAAACAGCTGGTTGCCATGGTTGCTGTTTTCTGCGCACCAATCAGCAGGCACTTTACTGAGGGTCCAGAGAGGGGGCTAAGCCGGCACAGTCTGTTAAATAGCAGCGATATGAGCAGAGACTGGCATGGATTCAGCCATGAACAGAAAAGCCTCAAATAGAGCGGGGCTGGTTAGAAGTGTTTTATTCATGTTGTGATTATGAAATGAGTCTGCCTTTGCATTTTTTTTTGTTTAATTTTTTTTAATGACTCAAAAAATGCGGCTTAATTGAAAAATATCTACTAATGTTCAGGTATAATTATCCAGACATAAAATTGCAGTTAGTTTGACCGTGTGATTTATAATTATTTATTGATATATCAGTAAAACCTAACGAGAGAGCTCTAAACGCATACAAAAACACAGAATTTTAATGAATCAAATATTTGTAATGTAAGACGAGGCCTCCCTCTGCTGGCAGTGCCGTATATTTGTTGTGCACACAAGAAGAAAACACTGGATTTGTGTTTTGCCAGTTTAAAAGGCATAGCTGTTTCCAGATGTGTGATACATAAAACTGTTTGTAATGAAAATAATGCGACTTTTATTTATTTTATTAATCTCAAAGACTAAATTAGGCTGTAACAAAAATAAGGTAAATAAACCCACATTCAAAATGCAGGAAGCCAGAATCTTCAGCTATTAAAGTCATTTTTGTCATATCTTTCATTTCTTTATGTTCTACAACGTAGAAAAGCGGACCAAAAAGCCTCAGATTTCATTATTTTTTTCTCCATACCAACTCTTAATATGGTGTCTTCTGATTAGTCGGATGACTGATTAGACATGTGAAAAGTATTATGGTGTAAGTTTGACTGAAAACATAAATTCTACGTTGACTAGCTATGACAGGTCTGGAATAACAGCGTGTGCTTTATCTTCAACATTTATCGAGCAACACTTTGCCTTACCGCCACCAGATGTCAGTATAACACTTCATCTTAAGCACCCTGTTTCGCTTGCGCCTCTTTCTGCCTTCTAAACCTCTCCTTTTAAACTCAGGGTAAGTTCAGGTGGATTTACTTTAAAAAAAAAAAAAAAACTTTTTTCAATTAAAGGTTTATTTATATGTTGCCCAGGATCTATGTGAGGTTTATGCAGTCCGAATTAAATTAAGTCGCGTAGTTTAAAGTTTACTCATTACACATTCATGTAACTTTTACTAGTTTCTAGTTTGTTTTGCTGATCTGATACTGGTCTTCGTTGTCCCCTCCACCTGTCCGTGGGAGGGGCCCCGGTCCCGGTGTGTCTCAGGATCATTCCCTCGGGTTCCTGCCGCTGATCCCTCTCAGCTGACGTCAGGAGAAATGGCGGACCAGGATGGCAGCGACACATCTCCTCCGGAGTCCCAAGGTGAGTTGTCACCAACAGGAAACTTTACTTTGACAAAACTTTTTTCTTCTTCTTCTTAAGGGGGAATAACAGTTGTGTGAAGTACTGAAGGGTGCTTGAGTGGGTCTGTTTTTGAACACTGACTCTGAGCTAAAGAGAGACTCGGAGCCGGTCGGTCACGGGAGTGGGATTAACTATCAACCAACTCACCCAACCGGTTACTTTACGTTTACCAAACACGACTTGTTACGTAAGCTGCTGTAATACTTATTTATTTATTTATTTATTTATTTATTTATGTTTTACCCCTTTTTTGTGAGTCTGTGTTGTAGCTGGTAGACATTTTGAGCTTCGGCAGACACCTGTTGCTTACAATTTGTCACTTCGTCGAAATCCACCTTCAGCTGACGTGACAGGTGAATTAGTGAAAATGAGCCGCAGGTTGTTTTCGGGATGGCATAGATAGAATGTGTCTTTAGGCTACAGCTTTGTTCTCTGGCTCTCACAGGTGGATTTATATATTCTTTTGAACTTTGAGTTGGCTTATTAATACCCCAAACATGATCATTTATACTCTCGTTATTCATTTTTACAACTTAAAATGGCCACGTCGCCTTGTAAGTGCATTTTTAGCTTGTAGGTCAATGTGTGTATAATGTCTTTGGAGAAATAATACAACACATACAAACTGTACGCCTGTCAGTTCCGGAAATGTCACCTATCAGTGATCTTGTAAAAGTATGTAAAGTATGTTGGGTTTTTTGGCTGCCAAAGGGCAGAGATCTCCCGTATCTTACACCCCTTTGCTTCACTTTTAGCCACTCCTCAAATAGTAACGATATAGCAGGTGATTCCCATTCACTCCTAATGGCAGAGCTGTAATAACTAGAGGTGGGCGGATCGACCCAAACATCGATAGTATCTGGACCAACCCTAAGTGTTGGTATCAGATCGATACTAGCATGAAAAAATCGATACTTTTTTCTGTCCAGTGAATTAAGAATTTTTTGGAAATGAAAAAATTTTTTATTATGCACTATGAAAAATGTTTTAACTTTATTCTTTTGACTATTGCATCTATTTTATTTAAAGGCAATAGTGCGCTGAAAAAACAAATGCTGACCAAAGTGCTTTAGACATGGGTACATTTACTTTCCAGGTCTCAAAAAAAGAAAATTTCAAAATACATGAAAAGCTTAAAGATGTGTGGTGTATTATTAATTAATTATTGTGGAAAGCAAAAATCCCAGTGATTTAGTGTTCATTTAAATGTGTGTCCCTTATATAAAGCTGCCTTCAGAAGTTAAAAGTATCTGTTCATGTTAATCCACAGTGCATCCAGGCAAAGGTCGGCACCTTCACTCAGTTTTCCTTGAAAATGTATAAAAAGCAGATTAGTTTAGATGAAGGGTTTGGATAGGTGTGAGAGTCCCTTATAGCACACAGAAAGTTGCATAAACAGTATTCCAGTGCTTTTATAAAGACCTGGAACCCAGTTAAGTATGCAAAGAATTATTGCCGCATGAATTACAGTAAGAGTGATTATGTTCACGTACTGCGACACAAGCAGCCCTGACAACTATATCGTAGGCAGAATGGGTGCACGGTGGGCGTGACCTTTTATTGATTTGAATGAGTTGAGATTACTTACTTTAGGATTACATAGCATTAAGCTCAGCTGTTCCACAAATGTCCCCTGCTTTGACCTAGCTTGACCTGCAGTTAGACAGCAACTAAAGCCACCAAGAGTCATACATACAGATACAGAGGATGAGACACTAAAAGAAAGAATTCATATTTTAAATTTATTTTGCAGCTCACAAAAAAATTACTGCCAATTGCCTCTAATCCATGCATTGTAACACTGCACAGATTAATTAATACATGTTGTTAACTCTGTATTTATAAAGAGGTACTGCAGCTTTGATCCAATCAGAAAGTAAGTTCCTAAGATGTGGTTTATCTCCTGTCATTACTACCTGCTTCCCAAATCATCCTTTTTGCTGCTTTGTTCATGAGTTGCCCTGCATTCTGCCTGCACAAAAAGTTACTTCTGTGGGTGATTGCGGTGTTTTCCCAGATTCGCTGTCAGTTTGGCCATCCATCACACATTATGGGATTTTCTAGAAATTTAACTCAATACTTCTGGGTTAAATTTGCATACAACTCGGCTGTTATACTTTAATTGTACACTATGTCAAACATTATGTCATTCAGGACCCCCAACATGTCAGACCCAGGGTTAGCAATTAAACTTAACAATAAACGAAATCTTTTTTTTTCTTGGTTTCATTTTACTGTATTCAAATGTCCATTCTCTTCAAATGTCTGTGTCTAACACACACATTCAGTAGGTGTGAGAAGGGTGTGTTACCCATCCTATCAGGTTAAAGTCTGAGTGTAGAATTACAGCATTGCTCTCTCCTGCAGGGACAAAGATCAGATTGCTCTTTCATGAATGTGTGCGTTTGTGAAGTGTGAGCTCTCTGAGGAGATGAGACAGCAGGACTTGTCCTGAATTCCTTTATATAGTAAAGGAATAGTGGAAAAGGTAGTGGTTTGGAATTATTTTAGGAAATACTTAATGCTTTTGCTTATGTACATATAAAGTAAAAGAAACAGTGGAGTTGTAACTTTAGTGGCTATGTTGCTTTTCACAGCATGCAAGCTATCGCACTTGTTTCTCTAATCTCCATATTAGTTTAGCTCAAGGATGCATTAACAGTAATACAAGTTGAGCCTGGTGTTTGTACTGTTACTATCCAGGCCTTCAAAGTTTGAAATACTCCCCCTTTTATTTCACCCTCCCTTTCATTGCATCTGCCATATTGTGTCACCTTTTAAAGGTTCTGAATTTGGCTACAGAGCCAAGCAACAATAAAGTTGCACTGCAACATTATTGTAGATGCAGTGCAACTACAATAATGCTCCTTGGTTAAATATTGATGTGCTGCGTGTTGTTCCTTCTGCATTCTTGTGAAGCTGCAGCAACATATGAATGTTCTCGCTCATCGTACATCGCCGTGGCATCCTAAATGGCTGATGGCTCTTTAAGTGGATGGTGGGGTGGGGCTATATACCATGTGCTCTCTGTACACACCCCTTCCACAGAAGCAGCTCCTGTACTGCAATATTTGATTTGGTGTGTGCATCCCTAGTTGTGTGTGTGACTGTGTACAGCACATTAAAGCGTGTCCGTCCTCTGCTCTCTCACTTCCCATGCGTCACTGGTCCATGTGCTGCTGTTGTCAGGGAAACCCTTTGCCAGCACCGGCTCAACTTCCACCACTGGATTCGCACTGAATATTTTAACAAACCCCGCTCTCCTCAGTTACTCTGTGTTTGTGTGTGTGTGTGTGTGCTCTGTGCAGTCACTGCCTGGGTGATATGATTCTTCTGACAAGTTTGCATTCACACAATAGACCTAGCAAGGGAGAGCTGAAGCAGGAGAAAAAGGAATGCAGTAAAAGTAGTGACAGCAGAGGCGGCATCTCGGGAGTCAAAAGAAGCACAATCCTTACAGCTCTCAACCAAGCCAGTCTTGTGGATTAAGTCTTCTTTTCTAAGCCAGACTGCAAGAGCTCATCCTACAAGAGACTCACTCACTCTGTTTTACTCTCTCTATGCCATTGCAGGGAGTATGGACTTGGCTCAATGAGTTGCTCTGTTTGTCTCTTCCACGCTCTCCTTCATCCACCACATTTACTTTCCTCCATCTCCACCGCCTTTTTTCCCCTATCTCCTTACTCATGTTTCTTCTTCTCTCTGTCGCTTCTTCCTGCTGTCTTAAAGTCAGAGCAGCAACCTGAAGAAAATTGCTGTTAGCACTAGCTATTAGCTACCTACGTCTTAGAGAAGGTGGCTTTTAGGGGTGACCTCGTCCATCATCATCCTCTGGCATTCAGGACAGACCTCTTCCCCCACCTCCCATCCTCACCCAGCATCACAGGGTGGGATGGGACGGGGTTGGGTGAGTTAGGCTGGGGCTCAAGGGTTAGCAACAGGGTAGGCAATGCCAGATAGTAAAGGACGTGGGGAAAGAGGAGGTGGAGGTGGGTGTTTGCAAGGGAAGTGGAGGCTGAGGAAGCGAGGTAACCGTTCAGCTATCCCAGCACTTTTCACCATCACTGAGGAGGAGGAGGTACAGAGACGAAGAGATGCTTGCAAGAGAAAGACAAAAGGTATGGATGAAAATGAGAAAAGAAAATGAGAGCAGTGTAAACTACATTTTCTCCCTTAAATACTGTGATGTTTGCGCTGACAAAAATGTTAGAGAGAGTGTGTGTGTGTGTGTGTGTGTGTGAGAGCGAGCATTATCTGGGGCAGAGAAGCTCTTGGGGCACAGAGATGTTTAACCAGACTCCAGAGAGTCGCAGCAGTTTAAAGAAAGATCTGAAAATGTGGTCCATTAAAGACAAATGTGTCTACATGCAAGGCTAATGATGTTGAATAAAGAGGTAGGAGTTGATACCCCTAGCAATATGTAGTAATTGTTTGATTTGTGCACAGTTTGCTTTTACAAAGGAAAACTCCTCTAAAACTGTGAAGCGCAGCCATCCAGAGACAGGCGCCTGACAGGTGTGATGAGGAAGCACAGTTTTACTGTTTGTGTGAGTGAAAATCAGCTGACAGGGCAAGATTGACTCAAGGACTGCAGATGAGAATGGAGGTGCGGCTCACTGTACATGTGATCTAAATGCATTAGTAAGCAGAGCAGTCGAGATGCTATTACAGTTGGAGCAGGCATAAATGTGCCACACGTTAGCTTTCCCCTTTCACACAATTCAGAAAGATATAGTGTTAGATTTAATTTCATGCCTTATCTAATGTTGAGATGATGCTGTGACCAGTGTTTTTTAGTAGAAAGAACAAAGCTAGATGGTTTTCTTCAAGTAGTGTAGTATTACAGACTGACTCTACAAATCATGCATATCGTTAGCTTCATAGCATAAGTGCCTAAGTCATTGACTTAGTCCAATGACTTAGGCACTTATGCTATGAAGCTAACGATATGCCACATTATATATAAGGAACAAGACAAAGTGGCTAGTTTCATTTCTAGATAATTGCATTTCCTGTTTGAATCCAACCATCTCATGCTGAGGGATGTGTAGTTGCATCATGGAGCAAACATACATGTAAGATATGATTGAAACAGGTGGAAGGAGAGAAAACTGCTGGGTTTACTGTGAAGTCTGAAATTGTGAAGGAGCTGCTTTTTTTCACAGTTATCTTTATTATGAAGACATGGTGGGTGCTGTTGATTGGACTGATTCAACACACGACTGTTAGACTAAACTGATTTGTTTTGTCTCAAATAGTTCTTTCTACTTTGACCTTAGCCTGTAATTTCTCAGTAATGGTATGGACTTCATTACTCATGTACAAGTCAAATGGTTGATGGAGCTATAAGAAGTGTGTGGATTTTCATTTGCCATTGATTGTTAATAGTAAACAAGATGACTTTATTTGAGGGCATTGGTTTGTATGCATACTCTAGGCCCGCGGACTAATTACATTTGGCCCGCGAAGCCATACCAAATTACTATTAGAGCTGGCCTACTGGTATTATACAGCTAATATATATATTGTTTAGTATTAAGTTTTGCTTGTTCCATATTCAGTTTTTCAGCAAAACGTGTTTGAGTCCATAAGAAAAGATTCATTCTTATATCTGGAGGAATAAATATATTTCAATAAATATTAACGTTAGCCTGCGACTTTGTTCCAGTTTTGAATTTTGGCCCATTGTGTATTTGAGTTTGACACCCCTGCTCTATTGTCAGTGAAAATTTGTCGAGCAAAAATTTGTACTAACAAAAATTTTTTAACATTCAAAATTTTCCAGTTTTAAATGACAGAGTTTTCCTCTCATGATCTGATTTGCAGCTTGGCCCTGCAGCAGAAGCCAGCGTTCTTGCACCTGTTACCCAGGCCTGAGTGCCTCTCCTAGAGCTATAAAGGAACACTCCCATCCCTGCCCCCCCCCCCCTTTTTTTTTTTCCTCTGGTGGTTGGGGCTTACAGTTTAGCTTAGCATTAGCAGCAGCTAATCCTCTCAGGCTGAAGGGAAGGAAAGGAGCCGTACAGCGTGCTATCCGCTGGCCTGGACAGCGGAGCATTAATCGCTAACTCTGACCATTTAATCTGACTGGCAATGAATGCAGATAGATTGGGGGTGGGGAGCGTGCATGCACATACACACATACATGCAAGCAACAGAACGGAGGGAGGGGCGGGCAGATTAAACGGTGACACTCTCACGTCTCACTCTCTGTTACACACATACTCTTGTTACACAAATATACATGCATACACATGGACAAAAGGATGGGGTTTGGAGAGCTGCCACAACCTGTCTCACACACTGGCTCTCAGCAGCAGTGACACCGACCACAGCTGACCTCACACTCTTTCTCTCACCCTCTCGTTTTCACTTCCCATTTTTTCTTACTCTGGAAACAGTTGAGTTTTGGATGGATTTCTTTTGACTGCCCTCTTTGCCCCCCCTCCACCTCACTGCAACATGGATTTCATTGGGTCACTCTTTTCAGTGAAAGATGCTTTCAAGAAGTAGGAATGTGGTTTCTGGTCCTCCGATTCGACTAGTCAGAGTGGGATGCTTGCCAAGAGCTCAGCAGGTGCAATCTTGGAATTATGAACCACAATCCAGGTAAAGCCTTAAACCCAGAATTTTGTTTTGCCTTTATTTAAACTATTGAAACAGCGTACAAAAGAAAGGAAGTGACAAGACTGACTTGCAGCAATGGTCCTGTTTGCTAGGAGTTGAAATATGGGACTTAGCTGCAAGTTTGGGGTTTTTTTTAGCCCTTTTGGTTAGCACCATAGTCTCTGAGCTATTGGGTCACCTGTGTCCTAAACTTTTGCTGCCAAATCCACACTCATCTAGTACAAGGTACTTAATTGGGAATGAACAGGACTACAAAAGCACCAGCATCAGTATGCTTTGGATTTGGCTTTGTCCTCGAATATTTCATTTGAGATCAAACCATTGCCATATAAAAGTGTAGCAAAAGGTGGTGGACATGAGTGTAGCCAGACATTTATTACTGGGAAGTGGAATTATGTCACACATGAAGCTGACTTTGGTGTGTTTGCGAAGGCTGTTAAGCTGCTGTCTATTGCTCACAAGCAAATATGCTCGCTGTTATTTGAGGTTTGTCGGTTTATGACCTCTACAACAGATGGGTGAGTCTGTGAGACGCAGTAAGAGGATATAAGCTGCACAAGTCCAACATATTAGTATTTTTTCTGTAATATTTTCAGCTGAAAAAACACAGACAGTGCAGATTTGCGATGTTATCATGACACTGCGTCATCTGGAAAAATGTTTTGAACAAAGGAAACAATGAGAAGATGTATGAACCAGAGATGTGGAGATAAATTTTGTCTGGTTATCAAATTCCACTGATTGTTATAAGTAAAAGGCTTTAACTGCTTTTCGTAACTATATTGTACAACATGCATGCACCTTTTTCAAAGTATAGGAATTGAAGGAATGCATTCGTTCTCCATTTACTTTTATCTGCAAATGCTCTGAAGGACATCTAGCTCGGAGTTACAGTAAATATTTATGAGGTAAATCAAGTTGTGTAAATATGGGCCACATTGTTAATGTCAAAATTTCAGTTCCTTTATTCCAGTAATTTTTTAATAGTTTAAGAGGCAATCCTCTTTTCTCTTCTTCTTTGTATTCTGAATATTTCTGTGAGAGTGTGGTTAATTGATTAAACCGACCAATTGTTAATCTTTTCATACTTATTCCTACAGATGACTGTTCTACTTACAGTTTGGGTGCGAGAGGCGCGGTACACCCTGGAGGAGTTGCTAATGTTATTTAATTTCACATGGGATGAAAGTGTCTCTCTCTTGTCTTGACTTTTTTAAGAAGTGTTATTTCTTATTATGTAGTTTTAAGTATTCCCAGCTGATTAAAGTGAAGTGCATAAATTTAAGCTGTCAAATTAAAGAAACTGGTTGTGGTCTTTGACAGTCGCCTACTGGCTCATTGTGCGGTAGTCCACTCGGATCATTAAAACGCCCACTCCATCACAACATGAAACTTGAAGTCAACTTGTATAAATGAAAAGGCTCATTACTTTTCCTTTTAATGCATTTGCAGGAGCTCCTGGCCTTTCATTCAGACTTGACTTCATCTCATTTAAGCCATCTTTTTTGTTTACCCAAAAGCCCATTCATGTATGTCTCGTTAAGTATCTGACTTCAGTGTATTATCCTCATCATTCAATAAACTGAATCTTTTGTTTGAGGAAAGGGATTTCAGGGGAAGAGAATAAACAGACCAGACTTGTTTTTACGTGGCCCAGTCCAGCCTTTCCTCTCATAACAATAGCCTATATTAAACCACTTCCAATGCCAGTCTACCCGAGGCAGGGCAGACCTATGAATGCTTGTGTACACACCTCTGTAGATGTTCCATAGACTGTGACATACAATCCGTCTGCAGCTATGCCCTCACATCCTTGGTCTTTGTGATTCACCCTAAAAACCTCTCGAGGTGTTTGGATGGAGACGTTAGTGACAGTTTAGATTCATAAGACTTTCTGCAAAACAAAATATCATAAATTACCAAGTACAGTGAGAATAAAGTGAAAGGAGGAAACTGTTTCTAATATACTAAAACTGATCAGCTTGCAAATGAAAAACGGCATTTGAAAGTAGTAGTTAGTGGAACTTGTTGTGTTCAGACTGATGTTCTCTTTTACCTTTTAGGAGGAAGAAGGTTCAATTTTTTTCTCAGTCCTTGATCAAATCTTTATCAACTCTTAAGCCACACCTCATGCCCTTACATTTTGCTAGGAAAATGGGGAATTGTTGCAGTGAGTCAAGAGAACACATGCAGACATAAATGGAAATACAGTATTAGGTTTGTGCAAGCTTTTTTGTAATTTTCAGCTGTTGTTAATCTAGTGTAGGTTTTTTCATTGTTGTTATTGTTGTTGTTTTAAGGCCTGCCACTTCTTTTGTCCTCACTGCACAAAAAGCTGCGAAGCTTTTTGACTAATAGCAGTTTTTGAATCACCTTATTAGTGCAAAAATATTCAATTATGCCTGTCAGACTGTTATGAGCTTTTATTTTTTATAGATTAAAATAAAGAGGAACAGAGTGTTTTTGTTACCAGCTGGTAGTAACAAAGTCCCCAAAGATACAACTTTAAATTGATTTTAAAACTGAACGATTCATAGGTCAGTGTTAAGTGCTTTAACAGGCAGACACACAAACCTCTAAAATGACCAGGTAATAGAACTGGAGGGAACGAGTGGAAAAACCCAAAACAAAAAAGCAAAAAACAACTTAAAAAGACCTTCAGAAAGTCTGGAGAAGACCACTTCAAGACCACAGACAAGTTTGGCTGCTTGGAAACTAAATATAAAGAAATGAGACACTTTCGCAGTACTGTAAACAAGCCTGGAAGGAAATAGTAGCATGAAATCAATCAAAAAAGCCAGGATGTTGAGAAATGATTCAGTGTTTACTCTTAATGTTATGTACCGGTAACTATAAAATTCATTGAGACACAGATTTCCATCTGTAACTCTAGATATGAAACTTGTACTCCATCCTGTCCTCTTTCTGTAAAGAAAAGAAATAGGTGATAGAGAGACTTGTGTAGAATAGGGCATGATGGCTGTGATAATTAAAGTGGAGTCCATCTTTTTCAGTTTATCAGATTAGTCAGGGGGGATGATTTATTTTGGTCTTTGGGTTTGTGGGACAGGTTGGTCTCTGTGGAGACTGAGGAGTCTCTCTCTTATCACCACACACAGGAAAGGACTGTGTTGAATGCTTGCTTAGTACACCTACAGTATTTATTAATAGTATACAATTTTTCTAATCCTACCCGTGTAAATTTATGTGTCTGGTTCATCTGCATCAGAGCCAGTATAACGCTCTGTGTCCAGGAAGCTAACCTGAAAGCGCTGAGTCACCCTATGGTGCAATTAATCAATAGCCTAGCTGTGAGCTTGGTGGAAACACTGCAACTTCATGGCCACATCTATGAATAGCAGGAAGACAGTGAAGTGAATATTGTTTTATTGCATTTTGTTTTTCTGTTAAGCAACTCAGCAAAGCCTGAAAATGCCGGGGAGACCACCTGCAGAGATTTTTGATGCATTTGAAATTTTTTGATGGTAAACTGCTATTTCTTAAGCATTTGGTTGAATATGTTCATTTTTATTTTAAGCAGCAGTTTGTTCTACACACAATGTTCAGTTGAAGTGTTGTTGAATGGGTTTTATTTAGTGGGAAAACATTTATTACAGCTCTGGGTGAGGAGCTGTGGAAAGTCTTTCTGATGGTGCTTCCTAATGTGCAATTATTATCTTGTATTTTTCTGTATCTCTTTTCTCCCACTTTGTCTCTTCTTTTGTTGTTTTATTATGTGACACTTGTTTGTCCTTCTTTGCAGCATCGTACTCTCACTTTAAGTCAGAGGATGGCACCGTGTCTTCAACCACCCGTCCCAGCTCTGCAGGCTCTGGGCAGACCTACACTCCCAGCCTGACCCCTACACCCACTCCTACACCTAGTCGCACCACCAACAGCAACAGCCCCAGTAACAATGCTGGCACCAAAACAGGTGAGTCCCACATACATTACAGTGTGTGAATGTGTGTGTGAATGGGTGAATGACTGAATGTAGTGTGAAGCGCTTTGGGGTCCTTAAGGACATTTACCATTTACCATATATTTCAATGAGATTAGTTTGTACCGTGTCTCAGCATTGACTGTTTTATGTCAGGCCTTTAACATTCTTCACTGTTGTTTGTGCTGCAGACTCGCTGCTCTTCAACAAGATTGACGAGAGACTTAGGTTGGCCCGTGAGCGCCGGGAGGAGCGTGAAAAACAGAATGGTGAGCGTTCTTGTGAGTTTGACAGAGAAAAGAATAAAAGTTATCTTTTTTTGGGTGTTTTTTTTTTGTCTTTCCCACAACATATTGTGACTGAACTTGGTTGGTAGCTGTGGTGAAGTGCCAGTTTCTCTGGCTGTTACATAAAGGCTAGGTTCAAGCCAGGCGGCCTGTTGCCATGGATTCCGTGTTACATAATGGGACAGTCCATGGGACAGCTTTCAGAAAGGCTGGTGTTTTGGATATTAGAGGGTGTGTGTGTGTGTGTGTGTGTGTGTGTGTGTGTGTGTGTGTGTGTGTGTGTGTGTGTGTGTGTGTGTGTGTGTGTGTGTGTGTGTGTGTGTGAGTATAACCAATATAATACAACAGATGGCTTTTTGGAAGTCATTGCCTATTTATTCATGTTTTAAGTGTGGGTTTTTTTTCACACTGTTGTACACTGGTCGCACCTCTGGTCCCAAGTAAGGGGCTGAGGCGTTTGCGTTGTGTTGAGAGCTAAAGCTTTCTCATATGATCCACAGCTGACACATCACATTACTGCTATAAGCCTTTTCGTGCTGTGTGCAAGTTGCCTGTTTTTGTTTTCTTTTTTCAAACAAATTGTTTATCATGTTTACATGCGCCAGCTGCCAAGGAGGCCCAGTGGCAGGCCCGTGAGGAACGAGCCAGGCAGCACTATGAGAAACACGTTGAGGAGAGAAAGAAAAAGCTGGAGGAGCAGCGGGTAAAGGAGGAAAAGAGACGGGCTGCCGTGGAGGAGAAACGTCGGCAAAAAATAGAGGAAGACAGGGTACTGATGCTCCCCTCGTTCACAACTGTGCATCCTGAGTGTTACACTCGTGAACACACAAAGGCTAACCTCTTACCTGCCACCTGCTTCCAAGTTTTTTCTGAAACACCCATCCAGGGAGGATGGGGGGACATGGATACTGTATTTGTGTGTTTAACCACTCCTTTTCTCGTATAAAAAAATGTAAAGAAAAATTGCAGATCTGTGAAGTAGTCATAGATTTCCTGTCCAGCAGTAATTAACTTTACAGCGATTTGACGTTCTAATTAAGTTGTTGATTTAGTGAACTAGAACATTGATGTGTCAAAGATCTGTAACATGACACTGTAGCAGCACATGTTGATGACTTTGCATAAATAGTAATAATAAATCTGGATAGTTTTTTTTTCTATTGATACAGTAGGTTTTTAACTTTTTACTCCATAAAGATGATATTTGACAACCTCACCTGTATGAGGTTTGACATCTCAGTATATAGCTGAGATGTCAAAGGGTAGCTAACTTTTGATGCACTCAGTCATTTTATTTTATAAGCAGGCCTGAAATATGACAGAAAGCACTCAGTTCAAACCGCTTCAATGGTTACTCTCAGTAGGCTTTCAACGAGTAAAGAGTTACATCTTAGTAGGAAATTAGGTTTGGATCTAAGTCTTCATTTTATAGGAACGTTATAAATTTAGAAACAAGGACTGTAGGAGAACAGGGAAACTACTACTACTGCTACTGGGCCACCAGATGCCCACCGTACCTCAACTTTCAGTGGACTCCAATTTCTACAGCCTAGAAAGTGTCTATGGTTCCTCAGCTTTAGCTTTAGCACCAGCACATAGGTTGGCATTTCTTTCATTCTATCTGCCATGTATTGCTACTTTGGATGCAGTCAAAGCACTCCATTCATTCAGAAGAAATGAAGAGAGAGAATTTGCTTAGCACTTGGTATGTCGGATGGCTGTTTGTTTTTTTGCCATTGATGTTCTCGTTGTTTTGACTGTAGGCTCGTCATGAGGCAGTGATTCGCAGGACTATGGAGAAGAGCCAGAAAACCAGACAGAAGGCCAACCGTTGGTCTTGGGGAGGAACTCTGCAGACAAACACTCCCTGCACAACAGCTGGTACTCTTACATATATCACATATATAACACAATACCTGTTAACACACAGCACAACACACCATAGACATAGTCAGTTGTACAGCCATTTTTTCCCCCTCTGCATTGGTGCTCATACACCTGATGCGTGTCTCTGTCAGTGCCTCTCTTGTATAAATATGTCTGCCTGCCTCTGCGTGTCAGTATTGTTCTGCCATGTTTATATTTGAACTTTTCAGATCCGCTGCCCTCTGTTGTTACTGCATATTCACACCCTTCTCTGCCTCTCTCTCTTTCTCTCCCCCCCCCCTTGCTCTCAAATTCAAACTCTCTCTCTCTCCCTCCCACTCTCGGCTCGCTCTCTACCTGCTCTACACTCTTTGTTTTCTCTGCCATTGTCCTTTCCCCTCCTGGCCCAGGTTTTGTCGAGTCAGCTTTCCTCTATCCACTCGACCTTGCTGGACTGGAGCACATGCAGAGTGCTTTCAGTCTCTACTACAGATACGGAATGACATCCCAATGTGAATATAAAAGCACTGTGTGGGTTAGCTGGCTGGCGTTAGAACGCTGGCTTTAGCACTGTAACTGTTCAGCACTGTGTTAGCTCATTCTCTTTAGTTTTCATGTAGGCCAGTGTGAATGGCACGACATGTAGTTTTGCTATTTCACTCGCATGTAGCAGTTCACGTGTGACGTAAAGTTATATCCCCAGGCACAGGATCATTTACTCAAGCCATTTTAGTTTTATTTTAGAGGACATAAGACCCATTTAGCACTAATCTGTTTTTAAATATCTTTCCTGTCTTAGCAACAAGTTGGTAGTTTTTCATACCTAACCTGAATTAACCAAAATAGAGAAACCCAGAGAGATGACTGACTTCAGCTCTCTTTCTTCCCCTTTTTCTCTCCTTAAATTTCACCAATTCAATATAAAACCGATATGCATTTGTCATGTTTTTTTTGTTGTTGTTTTTTTTGTATTCTAGATGCTGATAGGCGCTCAGTGTCCACAATGAATTTATCCAAGCATACAGACCCTGTCATTACCAAGCGCCTCTCTTGCTCCTCTGCCACACTCCTGCACTCACCAGATCGAGGTAATAAATATACACACAAATACAGTTCATTACATCCACTGGCAATGGTCAGCTTTTGACTCCATCTTGTATAATTTGCCATTGTTATGAAGTAGTCTCTTGTGACAGGCTGTAAAGCACTCATTGTTTTATTGTGATTAGTTAATTAGATTTGGGATGTTTATGTGACTGAAACACACTTTTTATGTTATAACTATGTATTGTGTAGCGTGTCATTCCCATTTAGTTAATATGACGCTAAATCCAGCAGAGAGTTAACATAGCTTAGTTAAAGAATGGAAGAGAAACACCAGAATCCAAACTTAAATCAGATAACACTCTTAACAGGAGAAGATGAAATATTATTACAATGCAGAAAAATTTTCACTGCTAGATGTCAGAAGAATTCTGTTTTCATATTCCTCCAATGTCCTTCCATGGCATGAAAGTCTGCAACTTCTCTTCTGCCTTTGCCATACTACATATGTGGTCGGTCTCCAGCCAGATAGGTAAAGCGTGATTAGTCAGAAGGAAGGTGTCCTTCTCGGTCACTGTATTCAAATATGGTGGGGTATATTTTAAATGGATTAATTCTAAGTTTATGAGAATGCATCAATTTTTTGGAAGATAATGAATAATAATGAATGTATATTTGTATATTTATTATATAATGTATATTTATGAGTACTTTATCATTTCTTTCTTATGAAATAGCCTAAAAACGTCAATAACTGTACCTTTAATTGGACACACATACTTTTTAGGTGAATTTTTCCCAAATTTACAATAAAGCTACACTTCAAAACAGAAACCATTAAACAGGCCCAAGACGGTGTGAAATATGAACAAAGTAAAATAGGAAGTTATTTGATTAAAATGAAGACAAAAAGAACAATAAAACTGAAAAACACTACCGGTAAATAAAAAATTTGCCTTATGCTAAGCTAAGCTAACAAACTGCTGACTTGGTCTGTTTTTCAGATGTTAGACCTAAATGAATCCTTGCATGAAGTAATCAGCAAGAAAGCAAATAAGCAAATTTCCGAGTTTGAGCTTTTACTGAAGTCATTGTTGAAGTCTAACCATCGGGTCATGCATCATTTGATGTTTGTATGCTGCTGACAGGCTTACAGATGAGAACAGTCTCCTCCCCTGTCATAAACAAAGCTCAGTCCAAACCCCACCTGCATCAGGGAAAGACCAGCCAACAGAAAAACACAGGTTTCTTGTGGAAATTTTTTTGGTCTCTTATACTGTTCCGACTATGTTGCAAGCAACAAAAAAGATCTTGGGCTGGAAACTGTAAAATAATCTGTTACTTTTGTAGAAATTTGTCAGTGTAAAATTTTAAATGTAATATTCTGAAAAGAGAAACTTTGATTTGGAGAGCCTACCATGACATGACAAGCTGATCTAATATCCTTTTATGTATAAATATACATTATGATTATTGAAACAAATGCCCACAGTCCAGCACACACGTGTTGGCATTTGTGCATTTCATCTGAGGGATCAAGATTTTTTTCTACCCCCCCTCTAACGTGACCTCTTTCTCTAATCCTCAGTAGGATAATCTTTTTGTTTTTGTGGGAACACTGTATGCTGTTTTTATCCTGGCTGTAAAATTGGCACCCACATTAGTCATAAAATTATAATTATGCTCTTGTTCCCATTATTATATTATCAGAAGACACCGCACACTGAGGCACTGTGAAGCATCACTCAGTGAATTCTAAAAAACTCTCAAACATGAATGTTTTTATATATAAAGTAATAGAAATATAAAAACCCATTTATTGCTACAGTTTTCAGCCCAGATGTATCTTTGACCTGCATGCTGACACCTGCAAAGCACTGCACGTTTTGTCTCATACTGTGCCGGATCTCCTTTAATTGGCTTACTTATCAGGTTGCCGTGGAGATTAATTAATTAAAATAGCCTTTTTCTCCGAACTACCTGAGGTAAACTGAAAGCTTTTTGCTTGAATGATTTCCCAGATAAATTGAAATTTCTTGAAGATCATTTTCTTAAAAATGACATGTGTCCTTTTATCTTGCACTGTTTGTCTTTGCCCTTTTGTTTGCTCTTCATACCACGGTGTTTGCTGCCTCTCATAATTAAACAGATGCATGAAGGTGTAGGTGTGGCACGGCAGTCTGTGCATGCTTACAAATTCACTTTATTTCTAACCTGCAATGCTTGACAGTGTTGGGAAGGGGGGAAAATGCAGTAAATATGTATAATTTATAATCTGCTTTGATTGTTTGCTTAGGCAAATAAGTGGGTAGTTTGTATTTGTAGCTCTTATCAAAGCTCACATGTCACATGCGTGTGTTCAGGACTGCGCCGCCTTCCACTGACGCCATGGGAGAGCAACATGGTGAACCGCCTGCAGCAGCCAACACACTCCTATCTGGCCCGCAGCCGCAGTGCAGTGAGTCTGTCAGGAGACCAATCAGGTAACACGCAACACTGATTTTATAAAACAAAACATTTAAAGCCCTTTGGCTCTTTAGATCAAGATTCTCTTGATCTAAGGCAGAGGTTTTATTAAAAAGAGTATATATACTCTTTTATGCTTGGTCTCTTGACCCAAGCAGTTTCGGATGCTAATCTGATTTGCCTGGACTTAAAGCATTACACTGTCTGAAACTTCCTTTAACAGCGTGTGTCAGGCACCCAAAGCTCACGCACACAGACACACATGCACATACGTCCCCCAAAACAAATAAAGTGATCTGTTCAGGAAATCTTCCTCTACTGATGCCATGCCTTGTCACAGCAGCAGGGAGTTTTAGATCATTTGTGTGTGTTCCATCATTGTTTACATTAAGGGAAAGAAATAACTTCTAGGTGAACTACTTGAATTCACTCACTCTTTTCTATTCTGCCCTCTTTGATACATTCAGCATCATCTTCAGCTGGTGAAGAGCATTTCTTACATGTATTTAGATGTTTTTGTTTCTGTGTGCTTGCTTGCTTTGTATGGTTTTGGGTCTATTGTGTGGATAGCTATAGTTTGTTCTAACTGGGTGACAAAGTAGAAATGCTTCCAACACTGGGACTCTTTATAGCAAGTAATGGTTTGGCAAACCATTCCTGATCTAAATATCTTTAAGCATATTGTGTTACGTTTTTTAATGTGATTCTTTTTTTTTTTTTTTTTTTTTTTTTTTTTACTAACCCTAATCAACCAACCAAATCCTTATTTTGTATCACATAGACAGTCTTTGTCAGACAGTGCCAGGTGATGGTTGCAGTACATTCGCAGCTGTTTGCACTTTTTAGTAGCACTAATTCTTTCTTTCTTTCTTCTCTGTTCCTACCATAAATATTCTCCTCATTCCTCTCAATCCTGCGCTGGCTTCTTCAACCCATGGCTTTCCTTTTTTATTTATTTATTTATTATTCATCTTGATTCCTTCTCATTCCTGTCTTTGTTTCCTGATCCTTTTTCCTCTGTGATCCATTTTATCCAACACTTATTGGTGTCCTACCAATTCTCACACTACCCCAATCAATACCTTCAAAAACACTGTATACTCCCACCTTATACATCACCCTAGCCATGCCTGTGTGTCCTCGCTCAGTTTCCTGCCACCCCATGGGCTCAATGTCCTTCAAGGCCCTGCAGGCACAGCCACTGCCTCACTGTCGCAGCCAGGAGAGGAACTTCAGCAGGGACGCAGCTTCCTCGTCTTTAAACACCCCGCGCAGGAGGACAACCGGAACAACACAGGTAGATTTCATCAGCTCATGACAAAATATCTGGGAAATAATATTTGTGAACAAAAAGCAACTCATCATTATTTCCTGCTACTGATATTACAGAACGTGTTGACGTAAATCTTTTTTTTTTAATCATTTTTTTTCAAGCACCGAGTAACATTTAATTCTTCTACTTCTTCAACTTTGTCATTTTCAAATTGATTATGTTTCTGATCAAACAATATAAACAATAGATTAGAGTATCTGTCATCACACACACTTGCATCCACTGTTCATCTGCTTCGTGACAGCTTATTATGCCGTTAAGATCTTAGAAAGAAGGCCCCTTGTATGCCGTGCATCCCACACACTAACATATCACTGTGCATGTGAACTGATAACTCTCACCCACTCCAGAATACTGCTGGTGTGTCATTCATACAAGGTCAGTGAGAATGTACAGATAATGGATGCAGTGTGATTTTTTTTTTTTTCTCCAAATTAAAAAGACTGTTTTTCATTTTGTGACCTGTTAAGTGTGTTTTGTTTTTTCTTATTTTGTTTCTGAGTTTGGTGCCAGAGGTAATCTAAGCCTAACCCTGTTACTCGTCATCATATTGTGTGGCTACTATCTATAGGGCACCTTCTAAACCATCCAGTTACCTTTGTGTTGCATTAAAGGACATTTTTCTGGAAGAGCAGTTTTGATGATAATGTGTTGTTTGCTTCCCTGGGTCCTTACTTGGTGGTGTTTTAAAAAAAAAAACTGCCTGTTTTGACTCGTGCATGTTGTCTTTTGTTTTTACCGTATCTCCTGAACCAACAGCGGCAAAAAGACCGTGACAGTGTCAGGAAGTCATGGAGCAACCTGACACTTCCACTTGCTCCTGTTCTCTCATTGCCCCCAAGCAAGCGCTCCTCTTCCCCAATCAAAAAGAGCGGTAAAGTGACAGCACCCTCTCCTGGCAGGTCAGTTACATTTGATAAATGGGGAATATTTTGAGCTGAAATTGAGTTTTACAGTTTTATTTGAAATGTAACGTGGAAGTTATTTTGCTGATATGCTCGAATGATGACTATTTTTAAAAAAATATATACTTCCTTTGCTCACAGACCTCCACAGAAACCAGTGGGGCGACCTCCAACCCCCAAGTTACTAAAGTCTCCAGGGGCAGAAGATCCTGGAAATCTTCGTCCTGTCAGGATCACACCTGAGAGTTCCCACCCTTCAACACCCAGAGGAGAGGAGGATGATGAGCAGGTCCTCAGCCCTCCTCAGCCTCGACCTCAGCCACTGGGTCAGAACAAGAGCTCAAATGAGCAAACGGCAACCAGCGGTGAGTTATGAATCTCTCACCTGTTTCACAGCTACAGTTTATTACACTGGTCAGCATAACTTTTATGATGCCTTCTAGAGAGTGTAAGCAGTCCACCAGCTCACAAGCCTTCAGCGGGCACCACAGACCCGGAGGAGGCGAGTCGTATCCTGGCCGAGAAACGACGGCTGGCCCGCGAGCAGAGAGAGAGGGAGGAAGAAGAGCGCAGGCGACAAGAGGAGCAGGCAAGGTGTGCAGGCTGGGCTGTGTGTGAGCATGTGCATGAGAGGGAGTGTGTAGTGCTGAAAGGCTGCATCATTTTTGACTTGGTTGTGTCTCACCAGATTAGCAAAGGAGGAGTTGGCTCGCCGAAAGGCAGAGGAGAGAGCAAGGAGAGAAGAGGAGGCTCAACGCCAGGCCGAGGAGAGGAGGAAGAAGGAGGAGGAAGAGGAGAGAAAGGCAGAGGAAGAAAGACTTCGGAAAGAGCGAGAAGAGGCAGAGAGACTACAGAAACAGGTCTGAGATTACAGATGTTTATGTTGACTTGTTTTGTTTTTATGTGGTTGCCACAAATGGCAGCAGGTCTGCTGCTGGAACTTTCAGCCTGTTCTCATTCCCGGGGTGTCAAATACAGACCTGATGGTGATGCAGAGACACACACAGATGTTCTCTTTAGCATAACTACAGTGATGCGCCAGGTTATGGCAAATTACGAGACACGTCTCACTCCCAAACTTCATATGGATGCTTGTAAAAGGCTTCTTGGCAATGTAAGGGCACTGATTGGCAGGAATCACAATTTTTCAATGTGCAGGGTTAATGTTGTCAAAAGGGAAAAGTCTGTTTTTAAACCTAACCAAATATATTCTGCTGCCCTAAACTCTCAAAGGGAACATAAACTGTACTTTCCAGGCAAAAGAAAAATGTACTGCTTATGTATTCGCCCCAATTCCAGCCTCCTAAATCACACTTTGAAGCTCTTTAAAACAGACCTCTTATATCTGAGAGCCCATCATTGCAGCTCCAGGTGCATCCAGGCTTTAATGGGAGAGTACATCCTGTGTATATCTGTGATATGCCTGCTACACACTCGAGGGCGAGAACACGTTGGAGCACTATGGACCTATTAATAAGATGAAATGCTTTTGTGTACATTAGAAAGAGGAGGAAGAGGCTCGACAGAGAGAGGAGGCAGAGCGACTGAGGCAGGAGAGAGAGAGGCACTTCCAGAAAGAGGAGGCTGAACGACTGGAGAGAAAGAAGGTAACGTGACCTCACATTTTAAACACGCATAAATTGCAAGGTACAGTGTACATTAAAGCATTTTTCTTTTTTCCTAACCCTCCAGCGTCTTGAGGAGATCATGAAGAGAACACGGCGTTCAGAGACAACTGAAAAGGTAAAGACCAGAGAGAAAATGGAGTAAACAAAAGTGTAACAACTATCCATCTGAACAATCTTTGAGTATTAATTCCTTTTTTTCATTTCATCACCAGAAGGTCAGAAATGGAGACAATGCAGGTAATTTAATATACCGTTTTTATAATTACTTTTGCAGTAATATATCTTTCAGATTGTCGTCAAAACATATCCTCTGCAGTTGTTGTTCCTGACACCAGATTGATTTTCTTTCACCATCAGTGAACCCGACCTCTCCTGCTGCGTCAGCAGCAACTGAGACACCAAGACACAATAGTAACGGCAACTTAAGCCAACCAGATCCCACCCCAAACCCCAACACCACAGCACTGAGCCATCCTGACCAGAGGTACAGTCAACAGCCATGATATACAACAGCCATACTGCTTGTGATGTCATCAGGTCTGACACTGTTATTTTTTTTTTTGGTTTTTAGGGAGAATGGGGAGTTTGAAGAGGTGCTTGTACTGCCTTCACATTCCAGGTTGTCTCCTCCTGAAGGAGAGGAGGAGCAACAGCAACAGCAGGAGGACAACAGAGTTCCTGTCCTAGCCTTCTCAGAGAATGGTCTACTGAAACCTCTAAGCAGAGTAGACGATATATCAGCCCAGCAGGGAGCAGGTGAGAAGGCATCCACTCTCTGATTAGCCACTAGTTCCTACATTTATATCCCATTACTCCCCACCCCCTTCTTCTTCCTCCCTTAGTTTCCTTTTGATAAAATTACAGAGACTGTCATTCATTCTGGTCACTTCTTGGTGTGTGTGCGCATCTTGTCTTTACAAACCTGACTTGATGAATAATGTCCTCTATAAATTTTGTGACAGTCTTCTGAGGCTCTGGTGGGCTCTTTGCAAGCTCTATGAAAGAAACCTCAGCAGTGTCAAAATGATGTCATCGGGGGTATCTCAGATTGAGGCATCACATTTTACCAAAAAATCGAGTTATTTAATTTTTGCTGGACTTTGAAAGATGAGGGTGTCTTACAGACTGGGACGGGACATCCTGGGTGGGATGCATCTTCTCAAATATTTCTTCTTTATGTGTAACTCTAGTCTTACAGAATAACTCTTCAATCAATTCTTGTAAATGAAAGCATGTACAGAGACATCACTGTGGACTTTCAAAGTATCTAAGCAGTTATGTTGAAGTAGAGGTGTAATTTTCCCATGGGGTCAAATGAGAAACTGGGACATTTGTGGAGAGCACCAATAAGCTTCTGAAGATGTCTTTTTTTTTTTTTAAATTTTAAAAAAAAGTTAACAAGAAGAAGAACTGTTTCGAGCATCACTGACCAATTAATTTTCCCATTAGGCTTAAGAGAAACCAGGACACCAATAAGCTATTGGCACAGAATTTATTGAGCAGACCTGAGTACAGCTTATTGGTGCAGTCCTCCACAAGTTTCTCACATGGCTTCATCGCTGCTACAGGCTGCTCTGTTTTTCTGTTTGTTTTTGTTTTATTCATTTTTGTTTCATACCAAGAAGCTCATTCAGATTATGAAGACTTAGTATTGCACTTTCAATATAGTAGCTCAAGCATTGCAAGTTGAAAGATCATATTTTATTTACAAGGAAGTGAATAAAGAAAATATATTATATGTCCTGTGCTTTAAATTCTTTGTACCTTTGATTTGCAGATGTTGCCTGATGCCCTGATGCAACATGACGATTCCACACCCACAGACATGAAGGAGAGGTCAAACAGAGAGGTGAAGTACAGAGCTGTTGGACTGAATCAGTAGGACAACTCTCAGCACTAGATTCTTCCTTTCTTCCTCTCCTGTGACAGAAGAGCACTGTTCCCAAAGATGATGTCTCCAAACATCTTGCAAGGGCATCACTGAGAGAGATTACTCTTCCCTCATCCTGCACTCTGTGGGGCAAAGCTTGTTTTTCTGTATCTGAACATGATTACACTTGGTCATCATGTATGTTCTGTGTATAGCCACAGGTTTCCCTGATTCTTAAATGAATGTCCTGAAATCACAGCAGGGCATTGAGGCATTGAGTGTGTATAGTCTTGTGATGTGTGTGATTGAGAGCGCGAATGAGAAACTGACAAAGATGTAAAAACTAAGATCAGCTGTCAGTCAGCAGCTGTGATACTTGAACATTTTTGAACTATTTTTCTGTAGACAGATTGTGATCAGCGATGGGACTTTAGCTCAGGCCCCAATCTAGCTTCGTTTATGAATTTTTGTCTCTAACTGGAACCTTATGGTTCTCACAAGGTAATATTTCTGCAGAAATGTGAGAAATAAAGTGTGCTACAGGAATAATATCAGTGCATGAAGTTGTATTAAGACTAATGCAAAAAAAGGTATGTCATGTAATATACTTTACTGTTTCTACAGTGTTTAAACTAGGTTATTACTGGGGTGGAACACGTGCTGGAGTATTATGACTTTAGGTTTAATAATGACAAAAATGAACATACTGTCATCTGAAAACTGAAAATGTAGGGTATAAACGTCAGATTTTTCTTCAAATTGCTGTACAGATAAAATGATTTGTCGTCATTGTCTTTATGTTCAAATTTACAAAAACGTGCTTCATTATTAAGTTATGCCCTTTCATTCATTCACATTTTAACCCTGTCACAGTTGCACCTATTCTACATCCTGTCACTGCCTGTAAGCCACTTTTTTGGCCAAGTAAATCCAAACTGGATTGAATGAATTTACTGATGTTATTGTTAAAATAATCAGATTTGTTTCCAAGGATTTGACAGATGCTGCTAATTATGACATTCCTTGGCCTTAACATAGTGTAGAAGGAATGATGTGACTTTGCTTCATGAGCTCAATCGTTTTGGCCCTTTGCCCAAACTCCCCAGTGGCTTTTTTTGAATTCAGTATGAATCATCAAATATTTGTGTCACGCAGTTATAAATAATGCAACTCATAATTCATACCACTTCTCACTATAGCAAGACAAAAGGTGGAAATTACTAAATTTCTAGAAGCAGGCCATTACACTTCATTTTCACTCAGCTCCTACAAATGATCTGCATTAGGGTCCTCAGACTTGAGCACTGTCTAACAGTACCACTAAAGAATAAACTTGTCTTGATTATGTACTGCAGGACATTACCAGCAGTACACATGGCATGCTGTTATATATTTGATGCTATAAATGTAAAAATGTATATTTTATTACTACCACAAAGATTTGAATATAGCCCTTTACTTCAGAGGAAGCATGAGGTGAGCTCTCTGAATCATTGTAAAAGTAAAATCTCTACAACTGCTGCAGCTGTACTGCTTCAAATGAATAAAACTTTTTGAACTGGTTACCTATTCAGTAATTTTACCTTATTTTGTTTTTCAAACTCTTTAGCCAAGAAAGAAAACAGAACAGAGTACAGTGACAACACAACATTTGTATTCTGTAGCATAAACCAGCAACAATTAAAAACAGGACAGAAAGAAGCAGTCAGGATTGTAAACAGTTTCTGTACATTTTAGGAGGAAATGAAATTTTAAAAACAGATTTGAAAGAAATATTTACACCGAATGAGGACAGATGATTCAAGCATTTTAGTTTCCAGTCAACTCAAACAATAAAAGAGATCTAGCCCAAAATCTGATCATCTCACAAGAACTGAAATGCTGACTTTACAGTAGAAGCCAGGACTCAGCTGTGGTTTCTCACAACAAGTAATGTCCATCCAAGTTAAATACACCGGAATGAGTCTTAAAAGCACCTCCCTGTGACTGATTCACCAGTAAAATGTTTTTGTGAGGAAACTGGCAGCAGCGTTGAGCCAGCTACCGCTGGAATCTTCCTTGGCTGTGGTGCGGGAAATTGCTCGATCGACCTCCCTCACAGGGCTCTCCTCTTCTTCTGGGAGGTAATCCGGCAGGGCTGAGTTTTGAGGCACATCCACTCCAGATGATTTCAAAGGAATATAAACCTGAAGACAATGTTATTTAAAAAACAAACAAATTCATAGTTAAACTTTAACTTACACTTCCATATCCTAATATTCTTTACTGAAAGTATATTCAAGTATCCAAGCACCTCTTCTCCTGCCTCATTCTTTATCACTTGTTGGGCCGACAACACCTTAGTGCCAGCGATGGCTGTTGCCAGACTCTGCAAATGGGACATCAGGGAAGAGTGTGAGGTTAATGAAAAATTACCTTTTCTTAAAAATGGTACAATTTCTAATTTTAAACATTTGATATGTTCTATTGTGAATAAAATGTGGTTTTACTTGACTTTATTTTCATTTTACACAGCATCCCAACTTTGTTGGTAAAATGTTGGGTTGTAAATGTTTGTCTTTGCTTGTTACCTCAGTGGGCAGGTCTGAACGGATGCGAACAGTACATCTCTTGGATGCCATTTGGAAAGTGAAGCTTATCACTCCTTTGACCTTCAGAAGCGCTTCCTCGCACAAACCTCGATGCTTAATGACAGAGAGATTACATAATTAAACTTACTGGTGATTATAATAGCTACATAAATGAACTGTATGTAAAAAGCAGTCGACTTACAGAGCTGTCCAAGCCCTGTATGTGCAGAGTGATGGACTTGGCCTTCTTGTTGGAAGAATTGAGAAAGAACTGGGGTTTCTTTCTTCTCTCAGGCGGAGGATTAGCAGGTGCATTGAGAATATCGTAAACTTCCTTGGCCAAAGAGGTGATATCAACAGAAAGACCATCTCTGTATGGAGAAAGGTTATATTTAATCATGTGCTTTGGAGGTGTGAACACTCACCTTCATTACAAACTTATAACTATGTTATTATGCAAAAAAAAAACGGCACAGAATTTATGCATTGAAAAAGCAGCCAAGTATCACTGTAAATTTTACATAGCTACATTAAAATGCAAATGAAATAATGTGTTCATTCACAGGTAAAAGTAACCATGGGTGTGTCACCTTGCCAAAAGATTCTCCAAGCTCACCATCATACCCAGTTCATTCTTCATGGTGGGGATGTTGGTAGATAACTCAGCCAAGTAACGTAGGGTCTGAGGACAAAATAGCACAGAAGGGATTTATATACAGCCATGCTTACAGTTCAGCGACACAACAGTGGTATTATCAGTGCACATCAACTTTAGATTAAGTATCATATCACCCATTTCACATGCTTCATATAACCTGCACATAATATAGATTACAGGAGACTTTTCTCCCCCAAGGAATTAAGCAAGTATACTTAATAGGCATGGATGGGTCACCTCTAAGTAATCACATTTATGTTTTGCTTTCAGAAAGGCTCACAGTGTGGGGGTTTAAACCTTCACATAACACATCAAAGATTCCTTCTTTAGGACCATGAGGAGACAAATCCCTGAGAGGGCTGAATTAGGAAGATCAACCACTGTAAAAATCACATTATGAGCTTTAAAAACCTTCTTTAATTGGTAATAAGACTGGAAAACATGGAAAATATGTCTTTTAAATGATGCACAGTGGTGTAGTGATTAGCGCCACATCTCACAGCTAGAAGGTCCTAGGTTCAAATCCATCTGTCACGTTCTGTGTAGAGTTTGCATTAGCTATTTGCTGATGCACTGCCATTTAAAAATGAAAATGTAAAACAGCAGTTTGTCCATTAGATGGCACTCTGCTAAAAGGAAAGTTGCCTTTTAGCAATATGTTAACAGGGAATATAATCTTTGGAATATCACAAACAGGAGCCAGTCGGATCTGAGCAGAGCTGAAGTAGAGCGTAAAGAAGTTAACAAACAGCTGCCCATAACATTGTGTGTGTTTGAAAGAAAGAAAAGTGCTTGCTATATTGAAATATCAGACTTCTAAATCTCCAAATATTCTGTCTTACAAATCCTACATCTAATTAATAGGCAATTCTAAATTGGCTGTGAATGTGAGCATGAACATTTGTCACTATGTTTAGTCCTGCCACACAATAGATATGTCCACGGTGTACCCTGCCTTTAGTCTTATGACAGCTGGATAGGCTCCAGCCCAGCCTTGACCCAATGATGAAAGCTTTCACCTTCACTGGTCTCTCTCTTAAAAACAGAAAGCAACCTAATGTTATTAAAACTATGTAACTAATTGAAATTCAGAAATAATCTGAATCCCGTCCAATAACATACCTGTAGAGTTGCAAAAAGGACATCTGGGTTCTGGTGGTCCAGGAAGAGAACCAACCCAGGGAGACAGCCCTGATCCTGGACTATCACGTCGCGGTTCTGGGGCTCAGAAGCCAAGTCCCGGAGCTGACTCACCACCGACAGTGCATCCATCATCTTTAACAACTTTATCGGACTGTGAAAAACATTTACAAAGGAGTTAGTCATTCTCAACGTTTGGCATGTGGTGGACAAAATATCTACTTAAGAGTGTTAGGTAAACGACGTGCGGCTGTTGAATAGCTTTTCCTATCCCAAAACTGTCCGGTGTGAGGTCATACTACAATTCCTAATGAATGTTTCAAAACTACCAACATTGTCAAACATACAGGCCGGATTAATGTTAACAAGTCAAGCAGCTACGCTGCCGTTGAGAATGTGGCTAGCCAAAGAAGCTAGCTAACTACTTTAGGAGAAAAGGCTAAATAAACTTAACAAAAAATACATTTCCTCTTTTTTCGCTCCATCTTCATAACCAGATATTGGGGAATCACTTTAACTGCTATTCTATTAAAATATATCACAGTTATAATTAAACTGTAGTTTTGTAGCTAAATGTTTCTTACCCAGGGCAGAAGCAGCTCGTGCACAAATACAAATTTGGTGCAATCACCCGATTGGTCGACTAGCCTCCGCTTACGCCGCAAAGTCGCCCACCCCTATTGGCTGCTCTTACTACTTCTGTATCCACAGCCAACCAGAAGACGTCTCGCTGCTGCAGCGTTATTTGACTTTACAGACTCCTTTTAATCTGAACGCGTGAGCGAAAAAAGGGAAGCTGCAGATTCTCGGTGAATATCATTTAGTTTACAGTATCGTCTGGGAACATGGCTTGGGAGAAATGTAGCTGCTAATTCACGTTTTGACGGTAAGTGCGACTATATGTTTTTTTTTCTTTTTATCGTGTGAAATCCCGGAGGTGTCATGCACGTTAATTTTGATGATCCACGCAGCTTTTCCACTGCGGTGCCTCTCTGCCCCCACTGCTCAGAACGGCAGGACACTGTGTAACTTACACCTAAAGTCAGCCATGCTCTCTCCAGTGTGCTGGTACACTGAGAGATTGCTGCCGAATCAACATCCAGTAGTAGAGACCGACATTTGTCTCTGAGCATCAGTGATGGCAGCAACCGACCGTTGGCTGCACTTACTTTCATTTTGCTGTTGTAGGTTGTGTCCTGGTCATTCTCGTATGGGTTTAACGTTTTTCTGACCTTGACAATTCCAATGTTTAACTCTAACTGTCTGAAGCTACTTTGTTATCAATACAAACCTATGCATTCGTTATATTTTAAACTCTGTAAGTCTATAGGTTTGAGAGTCGTGGTGTTTCCTCTGCAGAGAAGTGGCAGATGAAGGAATCGGTGGTCACAGATTATCAGATTACTATAGTCATTATCATCATTATTGTTATTATTTTCCTAGTATCAATATTTGAACCATTATTTGTTTGTTGGTTTCATATGTGATTTTTACTGTGAGGCATTATCTTACTTTACGTATGTGTTATTTTTGGGTTTTTTGTTCTTGTTGTTTTGTTTCAGGTTTCAAGCATGTGACTTAGACCCATCCTTTCTGTGTTGGCCTCCCACCAAGACACTCAGCAGAAAGCAGAGCTTTGCAGTCATCAGCTGGTGCAAGAAAACATCCTTCCAATGTCCCTAGCAGAGGATGTTCTTTATGTGCTGCGCATCGTCCTGGAGTACTTTGGTGTTCCTCCAGACGTGGTATGTGCACAGACGCACTTGTGTCATTCTTTTGTTTTGCAATACTCAAACTCCTGAGGCATCCGTGGGTTGCTTGAATCAGTGATCTGACGTTGCGACATTATGTTTCTGTCTTGTCTGTGTCATCGTGCATTTTAGCTGGTTCCAGTGTGGAATAGTCCGCTGTGCGGTCAGTATCGCAGCATTGTGCGGATGATTGGATCAAATCTCCCACTGACACCGACACCACGTGTCCAGTTTCAGGTATTGTACAATCTGTGTTTTACAAAACATGTTTGACTTTACCCAGTCAGCACTGCTGGCTAAATGAGTCCATACACTTGCATGCACGGTTGCATATAATATACAACACAAATGGCTATTTGCAATGAAAACAATACATTTCTCTTGTACATGCATAAAACAATCAAGAGCTGCAGTTGATAAGGGTGACCACATTTTGATTTCCAAAA